TAAGAAGCTGTGTTGCATTCCCGAAGGCGTGCAGTTCAAGGCCACCAGCTGCTTCGCAGGAGAAGTATTGGCCATCTCCTCCCGTGCAATGAACTGCCTATGAAACCCCTTAGCTTTGGGTCAGATCTAACTCTACGGTACTCAACAACAGCATGTAGGTTAAGTGCTGGGCTACGTGCTTCCTGAAAAGTCAGCAGTTAAAACCCTGGAGAAAGATGAGTTAATCTGCTCCCATTAAGATTTATGGCCTCAGAAACCCTTTGGGGCAGTTTTACCCTGTTGAGGGCTACTATGAACCAGAATTGACTTGATGGCAGTAGGAATTCAGTTTAGTGGTTTTTAAAAAACCCTTTCTGTGAGCTCCTTTGCATTTGCTTAAATTGCTTTATCTTTTTGTATTGACAACATTTTTTTTCAGTCAGAATTCCAAGTTTCATTTACTTAATACTATTCTTTGATGTTTATAGTTTGTGTTATAATAGTGTAGTTTGATTTTAGTTTATTTCCTGACACCTGTATCTTTTTGTTTAATAATAGCTTCCTCTTTGAGCTCTTACTTCACTGAATTCTTGTTCTTAAGATACTTTTTTTGGGTCTTTTTTTAAAAAAAAATCATTCAGAATAACTCAATGTTAATGTCTTTGTGTTTATAAGATTATATTTTGTTCCAGACTAAGTTCTTTTATTACAGGCTTTGTTATTTTCCTTCCTTCTTTTTTTCATTGTTAATGTTATTTATTTCCACTTGAGAATTTTATATTCTTCCTGTTTGTTTTTCCCCATCACGTCTGTACTTGGTGCAGATGGCTCTGCTCGTGTTTTTTAGTTAACTGTGTTCTGTCTGTACTCTGAGATAATGTGTGTGGCATCTCCTTGACCTCTTCCAATAGACAAAATATTACATGTTTCCCTACAGGAATCACATAGTTCTTCTTATTAAGCTTATTATTTTACAGATAAGAAAATGAGATTCAGTGTAGTTACATGACTGTCAGCTCCGTGTAGATAAGTCAGTATGTGTTACAATGCTCAGTACAATTCTGGGCAGATAATGGATGTGCGATTGAAGTGCTGCTTTCCTTTGCCTGCAGTGTGTCACTGTTAGGACTCTCTTGGCTTCTCTCCATTCCCATCGCCAGTGCCCAGGCTGAGCCCTTTGACATTAGCTACTGCAGGAGCCTCTAGTCTTCACCTGTGGGTGGTCGAGCAAGGAAGTGCATTCAGGTCTCAGATCTCTCAGCCCAGTCACTGTGTATAACACAGCCTCTGGAATATCAAAACCCACTAACTCCAATTCCATGCACTCTGTCCAGGATATAGGGGAATGTATTATTGTCATAACAGGAGTCCAGAATGGAGGCTGCATAGTGGAGTGGACTTGGGGGGAGGGATTGTAAAACAATGAAAAAGTTTTCCTTTTACTTTTCAAAGAGAAGAGCGAACTAGGGCTGGGAGGGGGTGGGCAGGGAGAAAAGTACAACAATGAATAAATGGAAATCCAAAGTCTCTGTAAATTTTCATTAAAATTAATAATAAAAAAGTTTCTGCTACAGATGAAAAGCAATCTGATTTTTACCTTGTAAATAAATTCTCCCTCATCATTAAAAAAAAAGTGAAGGAAAGGAGGTGTAGGGGTGAAGACAGTGTAGCAGGCATAGAGTGACTACCTCTGACCTCCGCGGTGTCTCCAGCGAGGGAGTGTCCCCATCACACATCCACATGGAGTGGCTCCGTCTGACCTCCACCGACTCGACAATTAGGATGAGTTCTCGTTAGCGATATCCAGAATACAGTACATGGAAATGACGGCGTCTGACTTCCACCAGCCCTCCACTAACTCTTCAGCAACATCCACAACACAACACAGCATAAAAGACAACACGTGGGAATGACTGCATCTGACCTCCACTAACTCTCCAACAAGGAAAAAGCCCCAGCAACAGCATCCACAACACAAAACTGATTCCTCTGGAGTCAGACAAGTTTCTATGCTAGTCTAATGACTTCTGTTAACCCAGACTCCATCTGTTCCTTGCAGGGCTCTCGAAGCCTTACGACCGAGACCAATAATTCACAGACTATGCTCGTGATTAGAGATGTTAGTAGAATATCAGCTTATAATTGAGGTAGGAAATAGCATGCAATTCCTCAGCTCCAACATTCAGCATCATGGCTTTAGTTTGTTAGACACTCTGAGTCCTGCCAACTATGGTGTCTCCATCGAGTCTCCAAGCAAGTTACGCAAAGGCTCCTTCAGCTTTGGTTCTGTGGAGCGGCAGTTCCAATTCAGCACCATCTCACACAGGGGTTTAGTTCTCTGCCGTCTCTGCTGTTGCTGCTAGGTGGGCAGTGTCTCAGTGTCAGCCTGTCAGTCTCTTACAGAATCGTTGGCCCTGAAGAGTACACACTTCACTCTCTTCTTTCTTACTTTCTTCCTTCCTTCCTCCCTCCCTCCCTCCCTCCCTCCTTCCTTCCTTCCTTC